CAGAATGTTAAAGAGCAAGTACAAATGAAGTTAGGTGCGTGTGTTCTACAGAAGGGATGTTACAGAGGCCAGATTACAAGAGGATGAGAGGTAAATGAAGACAACTGCGTGTCACAACAGCAAATGAAATCCAGCGTGGGTGCACAGCTGATGAATTTGGGGACCAAGGGCACTGCTGACCCTGTGCATGTGTGCCTGCACGGCGCCTCGAGGGGGTGCGGGTGTGTGTGTGTGTGTGTGTGTGTACAAAGGCAGAGGTGGGAGTAGAGGATAGTGAACAGTAACAACAAATCTGGTGGCTTAAAATTAACACAAAATAATGAGGAATACACATATTAGCGTTCTCTCTTTTCAAGAGAGGGAAAATGTTCTTAAATGAGCTTCAGACTGGTTAACAATAGTTTCTTTGGGCCACTGGGCTGTAGGGCAAGGCCCTCCCCTCACAGCACTGCAGTAACTTGACTTTTAGCGTGCCCAAAGTCTGGCATCAAAATAGCACATAGCCCCACTGCTGATCCATGAAGCAACAGATGTCTGCACCAAGACTACCTCTGGCTCCTCTCTTCCCTAGGAAGGCTTCCCTCTGACTCGCTCCATGGACAACTGTACACTCGGGTCTAAACGGAGTTAAGTCCTGTGTGGCCCCAGAGAATGAGGTGAGTAATGTCTAGGGATGTCTCCCCCACAGTCATGCCAGGCATGGAGGCAATGTTATAAGTATTCTCTAACGGTATTTTCCACTTACAAATTTCCTTGATACTTATATCATGGTGACTATATAAATAAAAGCTAAATAGAGAATATATACATACTTGCAGAGAACAAGCCGATTAAAAGCTATGCTCTCCTACCGCCTAGTTTGTGCCTCTCTAGGACAGGTGTGGGAGCATCACTGGGACATCAACCACAAGGTCAGCTTTGCTGGGTCCTGCGTGTTCCATGAGTGCTGCATGAAGTACCCAGTCTTTGCACAAGCAATACCTGTGAGTATTATTGCTGTCACTGAATTCCTGCTGAGTGCAAATAGAAACATTCCACATACTAGTAAAACAGCCAAGAAAATGGGCAGGAGAAAGAAGCATTGATGATGTATTGCTTATTTTAGTAAGTGAAATAACGGGATTTCTCTATAGATCTGGAATCCTCCCAGCAAAGGACGGAGCCTATATGTCCTCTAAGGTCTAACTTTGCAAAACAATCCTGTTTATAAAAATAATGTGAATGGAGCTTCGTCACTTGAACATAGTTAAAAGCAACATTCACTGTCAAGTACAGAGCATACACAAAAGGAATGCGTGCCACTCCTCCCGCTCGGCCACGATGAGGTGAGGACTTTATCAAGCAACAGAATGAACGTAGCTGATGCTGAACAGGCTGGAGTGAGAGCCAAGTCAGCAGTGCACCTTGTGTCTGGAGAGTACCACCTGACACTGATACCCACCTTCAAAAAGATGACTTGCTCTAAGGCCTTATTAGGAAAAACCACTTAGTATAAGAATTTCAATGGCTCAAAGTTGAATATTAAAAATTATGCAGAATTATCTCACTTTTCTATGCTGTGATAAAAAGCACAGCTAGCATGTGAATCTGTTAACATACAGTTTCACTTTAGGGGCTTAATTTCAGCTCCAAGTGTGTGGCACATTATCATATAGTGACAACCAGGATTTGAAAACACTAAGTTGTGTGGTCCAAGAAAATGCAGCAGGTGCTGTGGCTGTCGCTGCCTGAGCAGCCTCCTGGACTCAGCCCTGGCTCCACATCACGCCCGCGGCAGTGCAAGGGCCCAGCGGCTCTCCAGCACCACCACCTCTGCTCCCACCAGCCAGACTTCATGCTGCAGTCCCTGAGTCCTCCCCAACCTGTTCATGCCAGCTGCCTTGCCACTGTAATTCTGAAATTTAATTAAACATTAGGAAAGCTCATGGACAAAGTATAAAAGATACATCTCGTTTTTATTAGAAACTAAGCTGAAGGCTTTAGAAGAACTTAATATAAAGGCAAGTCACTGAAAAAAAAAAAAAGGCTGTTGAGTCAGATGTGGATGAGACAACTACAAAAAATAAATAAAAACAAACTTGAAAAAAAAATAAAAACAGACTTGAACTACTGTGATAGTTACAGTTTCTGCATTTACACTTGTGAATTGTACTATTAGTATGTGATTCAAAATACCAGAATCATTGCCAGAGAGAAGTCACTAACTTCACAGGAACTTCCAAATAGTCTTATATATGCTGATGAAAGTTAGAAATTTTACACATGTATGTATTTTAAAGATTCCCTGCCTTATTCCATATAACCCAGCAATCCCACTCCTAGGTATCTACCCAAAAGACACAAAAACATTGATTCAAAAAGATACCTACACCCCTATGTTTACTGCTGCTTTATTTACAATAGGAAAGACATGGAATCAACCCAAACGCCCAAAAGTAGATAACTGGATTAAAAAGATGTGGTATATATACACAATGGAATATTACTCAGCAACCAAAAAAATAAACACGTGCCTTTTGCAGCAACATGGATGGAGCCAGAAGGGATCATGCTTAGTGCAATAAGCCAGAAAGAAAAGGAAAAATTCAGGATGGTTTCACTCCTACCAGGAGTGTAAAGGACCAGGGGAGAAAATAATAATAATAATGATGAACTATATACCAGACACATTTTACAGGAGTAGAGTGGGAAATAGATCAAAAATGGGGGGGGGGGCGTGGAGGCAGAGGGAAGGGGGAAGTGTACTGGACTATGGTGATGGTACATGGGTGAACTGGTGATGGGAAGCCCAAGGCATTTATAACTGACATGGAAAAAGGCACAAAATGATGTAATAAATAAAATAAAATAAAATAAAGATAGACTATTAAGTTGTAAAAATAAATAAATAAAACAGTCAAAAAAAAAAGTTTCTCTGCCTTACCTGGTATTTTTAACTAACCAGTTCCAATTATGCTGAGTAAGAAAGTATTTTCCATGTTTCAAATTAGAAATTATTTTGAATTTTGTGAGTTTAAAATTTATGGTGTGTGATGTTCTAAACTGAGTTACAATAATACAGGTGTTCACAAATTTTTATTCCAACTTTTGAAAGACAAAATATTTAAACAAATTTCTGCTGGATTTAAGCATAACAACATGTTCTTCCAGTGCAGGACAGGGCAGAGTGGTTAGGACCAGGACTCTGGTCAGCCACTCCAGAAGTGGGTTCCTGGCTCCTGTACTGTGAACTCCCTGGCAGCATAGCCCCTTAAGTCAAGGAGCCATTTTAGCCCCAGTTTTCTCATTTGGAAAATGCCATCGATAATGGTAACCACACTGCAACAGGCATAAAGAGGTAGAGATGAGAAAACACACTTCAGAAAAATGCTCAGTAAAGTTCTTGGTGCATAATAAGTGTCCTTTAATAATATTATTATATTGCCTAATATATGTACCAACTACTATATAAATAAGATTATAAGTAAAAAGTTTTCTTTCGTTGGACTTAGTGTCACTTTACCAGAAGCGTATCCACCCACAGAAAGATCAGAAACACCTGTGGGAAATTTCCCTCTGTACAGGAAGGCTGGGGCTCTAGCTCCCAGTGTGATGTTTTTACACCCTAGGGTACCTCTGGTAATGCCTGGAGATGTTGTAGGAGTCACAACTCGGGGTGGGAAGGAGGTATAAGACAGGAAAGCTACTAAACCTTCTACATCTTGCAATGCCTAGCAAAATAACCTCCCCCCCCCAAAGTATTAGCTAGCCTAAGTGCCAAGGTGGCAATGTCGAAATACCGTTTCCCAATGGACAGTGTAAGAAAGAAGTGAGTTCTCAAATCTGACCTCCAGAAAGTTCTGCTGAGAAAATAAACATTGCTTAGAAATGAAATTGTGATTTTCATTACCATATTCTATATATGTAATATATAGAGATTCTATAGCTCTATACATATATATTAAATAATGAGATGTGGATATTTAGCAACGAGACAAGATTCTTCTGGTCAATAAACCACTTTTGGAAATTATCACATAATAAGCTTAATTTCATTCAAAAGTGACATGGCCATAAATTTATAGACTTTCATTTTGAACCGTAAATCCAAGTAGGATTACAAACTCGGGGAGAGCGGTGGCAGGCTGGCGACAACACCGTGGCAGCCCCAGCGCAGGGTGCAGCCAGCTGCATCGCTGCTGCTGAGGGTCGCGGGCCACGTGTCCCCTTCCTTGGGCACAGCCCGATGTCAGCTTTCTTACTTATAGGACTTAAAATCAGCACTTCAACTAATAATGCTGCTCAAAAACAACTATTGCAGAGCTCTTCAGAGTTCATTTAGATTACTTACTTTTCAACAACCACAGGGTTTTAAGGAGCATGAGATAAAACAGTATACATAAAGGGCAACCTGCAAGGTGTGCGCCCACCCCACCCCCCCAAAAGCAAGAGTCTGGCAAGCCACCAGAATGTTACGGATTCTCACCTCTTTTGTGTGTGTGCTACTCAAACCTGGAAGACCTAGAATCTGATTCTTGACTCTGAGACTTACTTATTCTGACTTTTTTTTTGATAATGTCATTAGTTTCGCCAACACCGCAGTGAAATGAATACAAATGTATTATGTCGAGTCTACTATGCTCATTTACTGGTGAGGACACTGAAGAAAGGAAATGTATCGTCTATAAATGTGCTAAATAAATGGAAAGCAGCATTAAGATCCTTACTTAAATGACATTTATCCCTAAAAGTATATGCCACATCTGCCACACTGACTCATTTCATTCACTAAATTTGAAAAAACTATTAAAATCCAGCAGACGAGGCATTTTTATACCTGAAAGGAGGAAGTAACTGAAAAGATACAGGACATAAATTGCAGCAAATACTTACAACTGAACTATTTTACCATCCCAGAAAGGAACGGCATTCACACAAGTCTTACAGCGCACGGCCGGAAGCAAAACTTTTTTCAGAAAGCACTGCAGAAGAAACCAACATAATCAAAGATCTCTGCTCACCTTTCTGGTAGAAAAATTTCCTGTAATAGTATGCACCAAGATCCACGTGTTCCACGACGTATCTCTTCACTCTGTCCAGGTGCAACACCAGGTTTTCCTTGGGCACTTCCAGCACGGCCACTCCTGCGTTGGTGCAGTGGGAGCTGAGGGTGGACTCAAAGGAGGCACTTTCACATCCACTGAAGGAGCCAGAGTTGGACTTGGACAGGCTGATCTTCCTCTCCCCCTCGCCACCTATCTCGTTCCGAAAGTAAGGACAGCTCATGACAAGTTCATTGCTTTTGTCGTCCCCCTGGTCCATGCTGAGGCTGCCTTTGGAGTTCAGGTCCTCCGTGCTGCCCATGGGGGAGCTGAAGCTGGCCGAGTGGGACAAAGGTCCCGAGACCAGCGAGGCCACCGCGGCTGCCGAGGCCCCCGTGGTCGTGTTTCTCCTCTTAATGACATTGTGCCTGTTCATGATGGCCTCGTTCAGGTCAAATAATATGCTCTGGACATCATAGTGGGCAAAGCACTTTGGACATGTCCAGGGCCTGACCGAGTCTTCTGATCGGTTATCTTCAAGGTCCGAGGATTTCCCAAGCTCTTCACCTTTGGCATTGCGTAATTTACGAAAGATGGACGAGTCTCCAGTTTCGGACTTGGACCGTCGCTTGAGTGGCTTTTCCCTCTCCTTGAAGAGCCTGAGATTCTCTCTCTGTGAGATGGGTCCGTCTATAACATCCAGCGAGAAGCCAGAACCCTTGCCCCCACCGGCAATGAGAAAATCACTCAGCTTGGTCGGAGTCGGCCCTCGGTCCGATTTGTCGTCTTTGTAGCCCTTTAACAAATCAAAGAAGCTTTCTCCGGACGTTCCCTGCTTATCGATTGAAGAGGTGCTGCCATATTCCCTGTGCAGCGAGGGCCCCGTCTTGTAGGTGGGCGAGATACATTCATCAAAGCTATCCACGTCAAGCTCACTTATGGTGATGTCGCTGTTGCTCCGCTGCCGGATTCTGCGCAGAGCTTTCCTGGGGGAGCTGGGATAGGCTTCCGGCATGAGGAATCGGGAGTCCATGTTCTCCGAAGGTCTCGTCTTGTTCTTCAGCGTGTTCTGTATGCTTTTTAACATGGCTGAGTCACTGGCGTTGAGGCTAACAGAACTTCCCTGACTCACAGGACTGCTTTTGGAGGACATGCTCTCAAGGCAACTTGAGGTTTCTATTTCCTGGCTGGAACGGCTAGATTCTTTTATATTTTCTTTTCTCGGGGGCCAATCTGCGATTCGTGCCCTCACCCCCATCTTTGGGACTCCAGGGGTCGAGGTCACATGATGAGAACCTTCACTGCGGGGGGGCCCTACGGGAGCCATGACCGATGGTCCTAAGCTGCCATTTTGGGACCGGAAGCGCCGCATGTACAGGTCGTCGGTGTGGACTTTGGGGGCGCCATCACTGCCCACCACAGAGGTCCTTTCCGAGGAGACTGGCCTTTCCGTCTGTGACCGTTTCAGGCTGGTCATGATGTATAAGCAATTAGACTTAAATCCCTGCAGAAAGGGCCACCATCGTGGCAAGTGTTAAATGTGCACTTCTCTTTTGGAGAACGGTTTCCAGAAAATACAACAGTTGCATGAGATCTTAATCTTTTTCATTTAAAAGGTTAAAAGATGCCTTATTTTCCTAGCTCTGAATATTGGTATTTTCAATCAAAACATTATAATCCACAGTCGTTCCTCTGCATCACTGTAACAACTTTCTTTCAGAAGAAAACGAATGGAACTTGTATTACTGCAATTCTGTGATTGCCATAATCCCAGGCTTTCCCTAAAAGAGAGAAGGACAACTGGAATTAGCATTTGATAAAGACATCTAAAATAAATATGCTACTGCCAGAACCAAACACGTGAAAATAAGGCTCAATAATGAACTGTGGTTCACAGCCCATGATTTTAGTGAAGCAGGTTTGAAAGCAAAGAAGCATTTAATAAAATCCAAACTTAAATTTCACATATCAAAAGACCACTGATAGTTTAGCTGAACTGTTTTATGTAACTGGGTGGGGGGAGGGGGCTCCTTCCAAGGCAGCAAGGCTCTTAACCCAAATACAGACTCTGACGACTTCTACAATGCAGAACATCAGGAATCACCTAGAATCACCTAGAACGTCAGGAATCACCGCTCTGCCCAAAAGTTGGAGACATAATCAACAGGGTTTGATAATTACAGCCAAGCAGCTTTTTAACAATAAAAATTGAAAAATTATGCCATGGAATGTGCCGCTACACTTACTATTTAACACCCTCCATATTTCAAAAGCCATACTTGCTTTTTGTTTCTTTACAAAGGCTGAAATAGTTGGCGAGAAAAAATACAACATAGAAAATAAACAAGGTTTTCCCGGAGCCAAAATAACACCCATTAGCACATTTCTGTTATTTTCCTCTACTTTCTTACTTACCCAAAATACGAATATTTCAGAATGAATCCAGCATTCACCACCGTTTCCTAAGCTTGCCTTAGTTTTGTCTACTCTTAAAGATAGAAATTTCACTAATAACAAAATGCCTGCATTTCCTCATTCACTGCAACCTGCCCCACCCTTCGGCACTAATTTATGAAGACAGCAAAAAGGAAACGTTGCTCTGGGTAGACCACTCCATGTTCCCTAGGCATCGGACGACAGAGAACTGTTAGCATCCTTCCAGGAGAAGGGTAAAGAAAGCCAACTTCCTCAGGAGCATGTCAGGCAGCAGGCAGGAGGCACAAATCCTGGTACAAAATACTGCATGGTTGCAAACAGTCTGCAAGTACCGGCAGAGGACCCTTTTCCAAAGACTCCACACATTACACAAGAGGTGGCCTTTAAATTCTTGCCAAGTACACGTTTGGAAGGGTGCTGCTGATCCGGCAGTGCGCTGACAGGGCTGCATTGTCTACCATTCACGGCGACACCCGAGGACGACCCGTGCTCGCTGCATTCCACTCAACAGTAACAAGCACTTACTTCCACGATAATTAAGCATCTCGCTAGTCAGCTTCCTGCCTCCAAGGAGCTGCTTTAATTTCTCCTGCAGTACACAGAGAAGACTCGCTGCTATTTAAAGGCTGGAACATTTAAGAGTGTTTCAAAAAATGCATGCTGCCTGCAGAATTCAGGGACAGCCAAGCTCCAGCTGGGCTCACAGGGGCTGGTCTGAGCAGCTGGTCAGATAAATATTAATTGTTTTCACTCTCACTCCTTGTCCCCATCTCTTGTGAGAGGGATGCTGGTTTTGTACTGCTACCTAATTAAACCTGGCTTTCAAACTTCCAAGGTTCTTTCACTGTCAGACAGCTGTGATTTTTTCTTTACATTCCCTAAGTTTGTATGCTCCTCTGGAACAGCAAGCATTCAATGGGAGCAATGTGCTAACTGTTGATTCCACACGCAAAACATGTGGTGTGGCTTCAGCTATAGTTCAAGATGTGCTCCTCATAAGAAGGAAGCGGAAAAGTCAACAACCATCGAGATGCAAAGTAAACACAGGTCTATCCCCCAAAAGTCTTTTGACAACCAAAACCAGAATGTATGAACTACTTTGTAATGGGAGTGAGGGCTTGGGAGTGAGGAGGAGTGGTAAAGAAGACTACTTATTTCAGTGAAATATCTTCAAAGCACGAATACAGTAGCATAAAGAATATATTCTAGTGCTCACCTCAGCAGCACATATACTAAAATTGGAACGATACACAGAAGATTAGCATCGAATAGCCAATATTTTCCTGACTCAATTTAAAGAGAACAGAGGCATCACGTCCCAGACTTCAAGCTATACTACAAATCCATAATAATGAAAACTGCATGGTACTGGAACAAGCACAGGCACACAGACCACTGGATTCGAATAGAAAACCCAGATATAAGCTCGCAGGTTTATGTACAGCTAATCTTCGACAAAGGAGCAAAACATAGGCAATGGAATAAAGAAAGTCTGTTCAATAAATGGTGCTGGGAAAACTGGGTGCTACATGCAAAAAAATGAAGCTAGATTAATACCTTGCACCATACACAAAAACCAACTCGAAGTGGATTAAAGACCTAGACATAGACACCAAACCATAAAATACCTGGAAGCAAAGGTGGATGAAACACTACACAGATACAGTAATATCTTTTTTTTTTTAAAGATTTATTTATTCATACAGAACTGCGGTACAAGCCAGAGATGCAGAGGGTGAGAGGATTCACCAGAGACAGAGTGGGGGACAGAACAGGCAGACTGATGAAGTACACTGCTGAGGGTAGCAGCAGGCGGGTCAGGAGAGGTCTGCCACGCCATGTGGTCACCTCCGGGGCAGGCGGGGATAGAACTCATGCAGAAGTGGCTTCAGCTTCTTAGTGCTGTGCTTTAACCCGCTGCGCCACCAGGGAGGGCCCATACAGTAATATCTTTAAAGATACAACACTCAAGGATAGGTGAAGGGAAGGTTAAACAGCTGAGATTACATCAAGTTAAATAGCTTCTGAACAGCAAAAAAGACATTACTCAAAACAAAAAGACACCCTACTGATTAAGAGAAAACTTTCCCACACAATACTAATGATTAAGGATTGATCACAGAGATTAAACAAAGAGCTGATGAAACTCAACAAAAATAAAGTGAACAACCGAATAAAAAATAGGCAGAAGAGCTAAAAAGGTACTTGTCCAAAGAGGAAATGTAGACAGCATATGAAAAAATGTTCAACAACATTTGTAGTAAAGGAAATGCAAATTAAAACCACAATGAGATACCATCTCACACCAGTGAGAATGGAACATTTTAAAACTAGCAACAACAAATGTGGTGAGGCTGTGGTGAAAAAGGAACTCTCCTGCACTGCTGGTGGGAATGCAAACTAGTACAACCACTATGGAAAACTGGTGGTTTCTCAAACTGCTAAAAATGGAGATTCCATATGACCCAGTGACCCCACTCCTAGGTATCTACCCAAAGGACACAAAAACAGTGACTCAAGGGGACACCTGCACCCCCATGCTTATTACTGCTCTATTTAAAATAAGAAGATGTGGAATCAACCCAAATGACCAAAATAGATGATTGGATTAAAAAGATACCGTACATATACACAATGGAATATTACTCAGCAATCAAAAAAGACAAACTCATGCCTTTTGCAGCAACATGGATAGAGCTGGAAGGGATCATGCTCAGTGAAATAAGCCAGAAAGAAAAGGAAAAATACTGGATGGTTTCACTCATAGTAGGAGCATAACGGACTGGGGGGTGGAGGGGGCAGGGAAGCAATTGTAATAAAGAAAAAACAAGAAACAATGAACAACCATACACCAGAGACATTTGAGGGGATAGGGGAATGGGATCAAAAATGGGGCAGGAAAGGTGTATGGGACTATGGTGATGGCACATGGCTGAATTGGTGGTGGAAAGTCCATGGGGATTATAGCCAAGATGGAAAAGTGAACAAAATGAAGAATGATGTAAAACTTAAAAAAAAAAAAAAAGATATTCTAAAGAAATTCTTGTAAAGTCAGATGATTTCAAATTTTCTTACAATCTCAGAAAAATCTAAATAAATCACCTGCCATTCTCAGAACCAACAGTCCTGAAAAGGCCAATGTGTTAATAAGCCCACCATGAGAAAAACACATTCTTGCCACATTTCATTTTCCTTAGAAAACAGTGTATTGCAGAGCTGTCCTTTAAAAAAAAAAAAAAAAAGGATTTTTTAGGATATGTGAAGTTACATCCACTGAAAGAGGAAACTGAAAAATACAGTCAACAGAAGTGACAGGATGGTGAGTCTCGGTCATAAGCACAGCAGCAATCCTCTTTTAACCTTCCATATGCTCTCTGCATGTTTAAATAGGCTTTCCAAAAATTTTATTTTTAAACATAAAATTTTTTTCGTAATTCAAAAGAAATAGCAAAACTCCCTGATTATATGAAATCTTGATTATAACAGTGATCCAGTGTTTTCATTTAATCAGCACATAGATAGGGACAGAAGGTGAGAGAGTTCAAGATAGCTAACTAAATGATTTTTCTTTATGTAATAAGCTTTTCTTTCCTATTTTCTCTTGTTTCTCCCCTTCTACCTTTCCTCATCCTTACGTATACCATCAAACTCCTTTGGATACAAGATAAACTTTGAACACTAGCTACCAAATGTAGAAATCAATATGCTCCTATTAACTGTACTAGTGAAAACATAATTGACGACATCATGTATGTCATACAATGACAGATCAATAACTTGATCCTTAGGGATCAAGTAAGTAGCAAATATATGCTGACAATTATTAGTCATTCTCTTCATTACCATCAAACATGCCTAAGCATTACTAGATATGGTAAAATGCAATAGAATTCAACAGAAGAACAATACTAATTTATAGCATGTTGCCTCCATCTGTTGAAAGAAAAGGCTGTGGGGAAAAATGTCTCATTACAATGGTTAGTTTTATAGCTCTATGTATATCACTTGGGTCCATGGCAGGCCCTTTTAGTTAGAATACCAATCCCCACTTAGTGCTCCTGAAAACTATTCGAAGGATCTGTAAAAGTTCTACTACTTGACGTTCTTTTCGTGACTCCAGGTTTACTGTAATGTACTAGACCACTGTTGTCACAGAGTCACTCGGAAGCGCTTCCTCTTCTCCAAATTGCCCAAGTCCTCTGCACTCTCCTCTGAGCATCGACCACACCCAAGTCAAGGATATTTGAAGCACCAGTGCCTCCTTTCCATGCTCTACTCTTCCTACCTTTCTGAAACTCTCTCTTCTAGAATTCCACAATGGTGATATTCTTTATTTCTCTCTCCT